AAACATCAGTGATGAGAGAGAACCATTGACGGGCTGCTTCCTGCACACCCCACACTGGGGATCGAGCCGCAACCCAGGCCTGAGCCCTGACCAGGAATCTGCGACTTCCTGGTTCATAGGTCAATGCTTAACCACTGAGCCACCGGCTGGGCCAGAGGTCACACCCACCAATCTGTACGGGACCCCGCGACTCACTCACGGGGGCGGAACTCCCACTGCGGCTTCGCAGGAACCTACGGGCAGGTGTGGGGTCGGCCTTGCCTTGCGGGCGGCGGGGCGCGCTGGGCTGGGAAGCCCGGGACTGGCTGAAGCCCCCCCCCCGGCTCCCCCCAGTCTTGAACCTCCGGGGGGGGAAAGCAAGCCGAAGGGGGGGCTGGACTTAAAGGGGCCAGGTGGGGCTGTCTAAGCTTTTTTAAAACTTAAAACCAAGGCCCCCGGGGGGTAGGGTCGGAAAACCCTCGGCCGAACCCCACTGGGCCTCCGGGTCTTTTCGAATTCCCGGGCCCTTTTGCCGGGGGAAAGGTTTCTCCCTCCCGGCCCGTCTTTTTAAAAACAGAGGGAATCCCGGGCCGGGGGGAGCCGGCCCCTGGGAGAAAACGGGGGAGGCCCGGGGGCCCCCTTTTCCAAAAAGGGATTAACGGAAAACCCCCCCCATTGGGGGAAAAAAACCCGGCCCCCCCGGGGCGGGGGCGTCCTCGGGCCAAAGAGAGGGGCGGGGCCCAGGAGGGAAAGGCCCCCCCACCAAAAGCCCGGGGCAGCGCCCCCCCCGAGCGCTCTCCGTCGCCTCTTCGTCTCCCGTCCCGCCCCCCCACACCTACTCCGCGGCGGTACCTGAAGAAGGAGGAGACGCTCCGCGACAGCCAACTCCTCAGAGCCGCCATCCCTCGGCCCGCGGACGCCAGACGCACACGCCGGAAGTGACGAAGCTTCGTGAGCGGGGGGGCGGGGCGCGGCCTCCACTCCAGAGGGCCTGGCCCCATGACCACGCCCCAGCCCCAGGGAGCCGTCGTGATTGGGTAGGCGGAGAAGGGGCGGGGTTTAGGGAAACGGCTGTAACGGTCGCGCCGGGTACCCAACCGCCGGAGCTTCCGCGCGGGGCGGGCCGGGCCCTGGCCTGAGGGCACGGGGTGGGCGGGGCGAAGCCGGCCGTGGTGACGCGTGGCTGGACCCCGGCCCGGGAGCGAGGAGGCTGGGAGGGGCGGGGAGCCGCGCGGAGGCGCTGTCACTTCAGCACCAGGAAGTAGGTGGTCCAGCCGGCCAGCAGCAGCGCGCCCAGGAGCACCGTGTAGCTGAGGAGCACGAAGGCCAGCAGCTCCCGCAGCAGCTGCAGCACGTGGATGGTGGACGAGGCCGGCATCGCCCTGCGCCGGAGGCCCGAAGACCTGCGGGCACGGGCAGCCGGGAGACCCTGAGTATGCAGAGCGCCGGTTCCGCCCGCGGCCAGCCTCCAGCGGACACTAGTGGACGCAGGTGGCTGGGTGAGGTCCCGCCCTCCTGGGTGAACACCGCCCTAAGGCCAAGAAGCCCAAAGCGCCGATGTTGGCCTCACCACCGCCTGGATGCTCATTCTTTTAAACCAAAAGTTCCCCGTCAGGATCTGGGCTTGGACGGCAGAGCAGCCTAGCGGTTCCCAGCTCCGCTGCTGCGTGAGTCCCTCCCCTGCCGCTCCTCCCATCCACCTCCTGCATTTTTAATGTTGCGAGTGCTGCTAATGGGCTGATGGAGTAAAGCTTTCTTTCCCCACCGCTCAGCTGCAGCTCAAGCCATCTGCTGCTCGGGAGGGAAAGAGGAGGCCCACCTGGGGAGGGAAGGCCGCAGGCCCCCACTGTAGCCCCCTGGCCCCAGCGGGTCAGTAGCAGATCTGAGATCTTTGCTGTGGTCCGCATGCTAGCCCTCTGGCCGCCGGGACTGCAGGAGTGCCAGGAGGTGGCTCTCAATATGATTCTGGGCTCATCTCCTTCCCCATCGTGCTCCTGTCCATCGTGCTCCAGCCCCACTGCTCTCCCACCACAGATGGAATCAGATGGTGACCATCACCAACCAGCTCTTGACTCCACTGCTGCCCTGCCCAGGAACTCCCCTCAGCGCCCCACTAGCTTCCCTCTCCTCATTTCACTCACTTAGCCAAGTTTTCAGACGCCGAGGTGGCAGCTCAGAGCTTTCTCTCCGATCTGGTGTCCGAAGGTGGCGTGTGTGCACTCCAGCGGTCCGGCAGAGCTGCGGGATTCTCAGGCAGCAGCTGCACTCACCAACTAGGTGTGGTCTAGAGACCAATCACAGTCTCCACGTGGTCCCTGAGCTCCCGGGGAGCTGTGCACAGGCGCGCTCCCAGGCCAGGCGGGGCAATGGTAACCCTGCCCACCCGCTCTGCCTGTCACCACCACTGCCCACAGCGCTCCCAGGTGCCTGCAAGCTCTGACTTAGATGGACCAAGCCAGCGGCACACCAGGGAGTATTTCATGCCCCTTCTTGTCTGCTTTTCTAAACACTGCGGGTGGGATATACTCCAAATCCTTTTCTAACACTCACATGGAGAGCAATCCCATCCTATTCTCAGAGTCAAAGAACCACCGTACAAACGACATTCACTATGACAGCCAGCTAAGCAAAAGTTGTCTTAAAAAAACATGCAAATGTGAGCATGCGTATGTGTGAGAAACAGGCACTGAGAACCAAGAGCTGAGTGCTTGGTTCCAAGTCACAGAGCTGAGCAGGTCAGAGACTCATCATACAGGCACCTTCCCAAGGTGCCCACTTGCAATTTCAAGTCCTCCAACCGAGAGGCTACACGAGCCAGTTCCGGCTGCAGCAAATACACAGCGGACCCTTCTCCCAATGCAAGAGTGAAAGAAAATAAACTTGATGCTGCTGCTGGTTATTTTGGCTTCTGTACTAGTTTGTAGTTACCATTTCTTTGACCTTAAAAAAAAAAAAAAAAAAAAGAGCAGGCAGTGCACACACTAACCCTTTTGTCAACATCATCAGCCAGAAGCAAATGGCTCTTTAATTTGATCAGGATCTCTTATTATCAAATCATTGCCCTGGCCGCAGCTCAGCTAAAAACCAGAGCAGACCATTACCAAGTGCTCAGGAAGTCAGCAAGCAGTAATTGCTCCCCGAGAGAATTGGTCTCTGAAGGGCTTCTGTGCCCTCTGTAGTCCCAGGGAAGAAAGGATGTCTAAGATTATACCTTCATCCCACACCAAAGTAACGGATGAGAAGAAAGGATATTAAAACACCTGATTCCGGTCGTCTTGACAGCTTACACCAGCCGTGGGCAAACTACGGCCCGCGGGCCGGATCCGGCCCATTTGAAATGAATAAAACTAAAAAAAAAAAAAAAAAAAAAGACCGTACCCTTTTATGTAATGATGTTTACTTTGAATTTATATTAGTTCACACAAACACTCCATCCATGCTTTTGTTCCGGCCCTCCGGTCCAGTTTAAGAACCCATTGTGGCCCTCGAGTCAAAAAGTTTGCCCACCCCTGGTCTAACCCATGGTCTGTTCATGATTCACGGTCTGAGATGCCATGTTTCTACGCCTGCCATCTCTATCACAACTGCCCTTCCTGTCTGCAGACAGTTCACTCTGCTATTTATAGCATTTCTTCTTGAATTCAACTCTGCTGACTACAAACACTTCCTCCTGGTGACAGGCAGGTCTTGAACATGCAACTGAGAACAACAAACAGGCACATCATGTACAATCGTAATCCATTTCCAGGGAGGGCAGAGCTAGAATGGACTGGCACTCGCATGGGATCTTTCCTTTCCAGTTCTCTCCAAGAATTCAATGTGCTGTTTTTAATCCGCCTTTTTTCCCCCCTTTTAAATATATTTTTATTGATTTCAGAGGAGAGGGAGAGGGAGATAGAAATATCGGTGAGAATCATTAATCGGCTGCCTCCTGCACGCTCCCCACTGGGGATTGGGCCCGCAACCCGGGCATGTGTCCCAACCAGGAATCAAACTGTGACCTCCTGGTTCACAGGTCGATGCTCAACCACTGAGCCACACCAGCCAGGCTAATCTGCCTCCTTTTAACCATTACACTCTTGCTCCACAGTTAACTACAGTTCAAATACTTATTTCTCTGTTGGCAAAAATTCAAAGTGTATAGTAAGACACAGAACAGTGCCTATGTAGACTTCTTTATCTATGCAGACTTCTGGTGTAACAGAATTATCTACCCAATTAGACAAAAGTCCAGACGTGATGTAAACAATCCCCCTGCTCCAGGAATAAATGTAGCATTCACATACCCTTTTCTCAGTAAGGCCACACTCCTTTGAGACAAAGACTGCTTTAAGTATTAAATGAACTGACACAAAAGCGTATAAAATATATATCCACCACTTTCTATTTGCATACAAATGAAGCAATTGATGTTTTTAAGTCTTCTGCGGAATGCATTTGTAGGAGCTGACCTAACTATGCCCTGAGCAGGCAAGTCGAGAGCTACAAGTGAATGCAGACACATGAGACACAACCGAGTATCTGTTCATAGGACAAAGACCCCAGCCAAGGAGACTCAACTGGACTTGAATCCCCAGAGGCAAAAACACTGAGGGACAAAGGTGCATTTCACTCTCTAAGGCAGCCCAGGCTGACCACTGCTGGGGCTCGGAGGTATAAACTAATCTCCCTGGGATAACAAGGGTCTGAGAAAGGATTTCTAACACAGGAATCCATTTCATTAAGACCATTTCCACGTACTGAATGCCAATTAAATTAAACCCAGGACAAGCAAATCTTTTAATTTTTTGTTGTTGTTAATCCTCACCCGACGATAGATTTTCCATTGATTTTTAGAGTGGGAGGGAGGAAGGGAAGGAGAGAGGAAGAGAGAGAGGGAAAGAGAAGGAGAGAGACACATTGATTGGTTGTTTATCACATGAGCCCCAACCGAGGCTGGGGATCGAACCTGTAACCCAGGTATGTGTCCTTGACCGGGAATCGAACCCTCGATCCTTTGGTACACAGACCAACACTCTAAGCACTTAACAACACTTTCCACTTTTATTGTTATTTTTACCTGCTTGGTCCCATTTGTGCGGCTGCGTAGATTATCCATACCCACCTTCTTAATATACTTCCACGCGTCTCTAATGAAGACACTGAGCTGAGACCACAAAAAAATGGTATGTCTTTAGGTTGTCTTCTTTCTTCAAGAAGTCAGGAACACAAAAGAGAAACAGAAGGGAGAAAACAGCAAAATTCAAGAGGCTGACCCCAAAGTCAGTTTTGTGTTCCTGGGTTGTTATTCCTCTGTAGGGCTGTCCTTCCCTCCAGCAACTTCCTCAAAGGGGCAGTTTATGCTGCAGTTTGCTTGTCCAATCCGCTCTGAGCGCCCTACACAGGCTTTTCCATCAGAGACTCTATCCATGTGGCCCCGTTCATTAGTTTAGTGGTGGCAATGACGTATTCTGTGCCTCCATCTTCCAACTGGGAGAGAAAGCGCAGGGCAGCGACTTCGGCAAAGGTCACACCCCCGAGGAAAAATATCAGGGTGACTCGGTTTTCCCCCGGTTGACCTAAAATTGAAACATTTCAGAATTAAGAGTTATATATTATTGGAGCTTCTCTTCCCACCTCTTAAAAACTGCATATTGCCCAGCTGGTGTGGTTCAGTGGTTGAGCATCAGACCATGCGCCAAGAGGCTACCGGTTCCATTCCCGGTCAGGGCACATGCCCTGGTTGTGGGCTCGATCTGAAGTAGGGGGCGTGCAGGAGGCAGCCAATCAATGCTGATGTTTCTCTCTCATTGATGTTTCTATCTATCCCTCTCCCTTCCTCCCTCTCTAAAAAACAATAAAAACACATTTAAAAAACAAAACTGCATCATTCATAAGAAAAAAAAAGTCAAATGTGTCTTGGTCTGACAGTTCACTTGAAACTCAAGACACATAATTTTGCTCTCAAATGTTTTTTCTAACTACTGAGATCCTCAACTCCACAGCTGAAAGCTGCTACCCCCGAGGGAATAATGGGTTCCCCTGCTTACAATATACATTAGCAACTAACAAAAGAGGTAGATTGGACTCTGACTCCCAAGGACTCTACAAATGTATTCTACAAAGCAACTGCATAATACATGAAAACCACACTAACAGCACATAACGATCTGTAGACCCGGCTATAGACTCACGTTTCTTTTGCAGTCCCGTGGGCAATGGCTGCCGTTCTTCAAAGTGGGGCCCTGGGAGGATGCGCAGAACTTCCTCAATACTCCGCCAGCCAGGCCGGGAAAGCAGCTGGGCCAGACGCACACTGAGAGGGGCGTAGCCACTGTACACGTAGGATATGTCGGTGGGATTCTGTGGCATAATTAAAGGGAAAAAAGCCTGTGGGTATAGAGACTCAGAGCCACCTAACCCAAAATTATTTGATTTGTCTTTGAAGGCAAAGCCACAAATAACCCCCCACATCTTAGCAGCCAGAAGCTCACTTTTGACTCACATTTTGAAAAGCCATGCAGAGCATCTCTAGGGACTGGAGAGGAAAATTGTTACTTCATTTGGCAAGAAACTTTTTGGAGGGTAACTTGGCACTCTAGCTGGGTAACAATGTGCATAATCTTTGAACCCAGAAATTCTACTTTTAGGCATTTATCCTGCAGAGGGGCTGGCACACCAGGGGAGACCAGACCAAAGCACCACCAGTAACTGCAACACCATCTGTACCAGGAAAAGACTGGGAACACCTGAATTACTAGCAATAGAAACCTGTTAAATTATAAAGGCGGCATATATGTAGAACCACCTCATAACAATTACAAAGAACTTTAAAAAAACAAGGCAGCCCGGCTGGTGTGGCTCAGGGGTTGAGCGTCAACCTATGAACCAGGAGGTCACGGTTGGATTCCTGGTCAGGGCACATGCCTGGGTTGCAGGGTTGCGGGCTGGATCCCCAGTAGGGGGTGTGCAGGAGGCAGCCAATCAATGATTCTTTCTCATCATTGATATTTCTATCTCCCTTTCCCTTCTTCTCTGAAATAAAAAAATATATATTAAAAAATACATATCTTTTGAGAGCAATTATGGTGGCAATTTGGTTGGTTTAATAGTAAATACTAGTATATTGTGCGGGTAAATTTGATTAAGGTCAAGATTTTTAAAAAACATATGATTTCAGAAACCCGTGGACATAAAGCATATATCTTGTATGACTTTTTCTGACTACATTATAAAATTATGTTTTTTTCTTTCTCCATGTTAAGCAAAGGAGTATCTTTAAAACATAGGGCCTTATTTAAGAATGCCACGTTGGACTTTGGGGGTTGTTCTATCTTTCTATTAGAAGGGGAGTTCACTTTGACCATGACTCTCTGCTTCAATAGTAACTGCAGATTTTTAAGTGTGGATTAATCTCTGTTCTTACCTCTGCCATCAGAAATGGTTCTTGTCCCGAAAGCTGTGGCTGCAACCTCTAGAAATGTAACAACCAACTTCCCATCCCCGTGCTGCCCTTGTGTTCCTTTGCTTAGTGAAGGATTTTGTGTCAATACATGAGCTGGAAAGTTGGCTTGTATCTCGTTTGTTTGTTTTCCCAGGGTTTCTCCTCTAGACTCAAACCATGAAACTATATCCCATAAGGAGTTTCTTTTCTTATTTACTGATTCCCTCTTCTCATTATGTGATTCACTGAACACAAAATTGTACCATCACAGGACCTCAGAGAAATCTAGTTGTTATTTTGTCTTGATGCAGATTAGCTTACAAATCATTCCGCAATGATGAATAGCCTTAGTCTTAGGCTCTCCTGAGAAACGCTGTTTGCCACTTCTCTTCACAAATGGTTACTGTATTTTTAATGTCTGTTTCACGTGATAAAAGACATACTGTATTTAATTCTAGTGAAATATGTTAGGATGTGGTAAGGGGTGGATTTTGATTTAGTTTTGTTATGAATTTACAGATATTATTTTATCAGGGTACTTTTTGCCTCTCAGAGACATCAAGAAATGCTTATTTCTAATTATTCCAAGTTATTATAACTATTATACTTGTTGTTATAGAAATAAACCTTTATTTAAATGTAAGCCCTGAAACATTGATTCTAATTAAAATGTAAGCAAAAACAGAAAAATAAATAAAGAGGCAGATCACAGGATGACCTTCAAGAGACAGTGGACACGATGAGTGGGGTGGGAGCAGCAGGTCAGAACGGTGAAGAGAGCCAAACTAAAGTATCACTTACATTGTACAACACAGAAATTAAGTCTCTATATTGCAAATGGGGAAAAATAATCCAATTTTGCTGCTGATAGAGGAGACAGTCTAATTACTAGTTTTTGTTGCAAGAGGCAGCCTAATGAAACACCAAGAGAGAATATAAGAGAAAGAAGTTTAGGAAGAGTGGAATCAACCATACATGCAAAACAAAGTGCACCTGCTTGGAGATCACTGGTATGTATGCATCATCTACGTGAAAGTTTGTATAGTCACAGAACCTTTCTGGGAGGGTTAAAAAGTGGGTTAGGGTTACAACAGCTGCCTTTGAGGGGAAACTGGGGTTAGATGTGGAAGGAACCTAACTTTACTGTCTGCCTTACTTTTGCACAAGCTGACTTTTCACCGCACACCCTGGGTTCCTCCCAGATCCTCTCTGCCCTTCTTGGCTCTGAGCCCAGGAGGTAGACTGCGGGCTCTGCACCAACGCACTCCAAGTCCTCTGTTTGGGTTGGGCCAATGGGAGGCACCAGATAAGCACGGGAGAGTGGGCAGCAGTGAGGTCAGGGTTTTTCCACCCTGGCTTCCTCTCTGTGACTCAGCTGGAGGCTGGCTGTGTCCCTCGAGTAGAGACCTGTCACCCCTCGTCTTGTCAGACGGCCTCTCCATTTAGCTCTTCTGACTGGCACAGGTTTCTGGAACAGCTCGCTCTCCTTGCCCTTAGGCCTTGCCTGGTAAGGGCTGCCCACTGCACTGCCTCTCACTGCCTCTCACCGCCTCCGCTCCCCGCCCCCCCCCATCTTTATGACACTCTCCTCAAACTACCCAGTGGAAGAGCGCCCCGTTTCCTGCTGGGATTCTGACAGATATAACTCACAAATGCATTACTCTTTCACATTAGAACACTGTTGTCCCCATAGACTGTTAACCAGTTGCTGACTGAGCTGGCGTGAGAAGGGTGCCTTACTTGTTCATTGACATCATCCATCCAGAGGCGTAGGGTTTTCCGGATTGTCGGGTAATTGTTCCTGCCCCCCAACTGCGGTTTCAGTAGGCCAGCCTTCTCCAGGTTGTGTAAGGTCAAAATGTGCTCATAGCCGTATGTCTGCAAGACAAGTCGTTTGGCCTGGATGTCAGATCAGGAAAAGGCTTCTGCGACTTTCATAAAAGAGCACCTCTGATAGATCGACTAGCTCTGTTCTCCAGGGCACACCACTGAGGTCCAGGTGATGACTGACCCCACGTGGGCACGGGGAAAGGACCTGCCCTAAAACTGCCTGTCCGTCACAATTAATCCAGCTCATTGTTTCAGAGAGGGATTTGATGTATTCAGAGTCAAAATTTATGGGCCCAACTTAAATGAGCAGATTTTGGAAGTCTTTTTTTTTTTTAAATTGTTTTCCCCCTTGGCAAATTAGTAATTTAAAAATATACTGACCTAGTCCGGCTTGCATGGCTCAGTGTTTGAGTGTCAATCTATGAACCAGGAGGTCACGGTTTGATTCCCAGTCAGGGCACATGCCGGGTTGCGAGCTCGATCCCCAGTGTAGGGAGTGCAGGAGGCAACCGATCAATGATTCTCTCATCACTGATGTTTCTCTCTCTCTCACCCCCTCTCCCTTCCTCTCTGAAACCAATAAGAATATATTAAATATATATATACATATTTATATATATATATATATATATATATACACATATATATATATAT